GAGAGAAAGAGGAACACGACCAGGGACTAACTGGGAAGTAGATTTTACTGAGGTACTCCCAGGAAAATATGGGTATAAATACCTTTTAGTGTTTATAGACACTTTTTCAGGGTGGGTTGAAGCTTTCCCCACCCAAAAGGAAACAGCTCAGACTGTGGTGAAGAAGCTGATTGAAGAAATCTTCCCTCGATTTGGACTGCCCAAGGTAATTGGGTCTGATAATGGCCCAGCCTTTGTCTCCCAGGTAAGTCAGGGAGTGGCCAAAGCATTGGGGATTAATTGGAAATTACATTGTGCTTACAGACCCCAAAGTTCAGGACAGGTAGAAAAAATGAATAGAACTATTAAAGAGACCGTAACTAAATTAGCTCTAGAGACTGGCACTATTTCGGGCTAGAAATACTCCTGCTATACATGGCTTAACCCCCTATGAAATCCTTTTTGGAGGACCACCTCCTGTCCTCAATGTAACTTTATCCCCCTTGCCCTCTTCTTTTGACAATCCCAGCCTAAAAACAAGACTTCAAGCCCTTCAGATTATCCAGAACCAGGTTTGGAAGCCTCTGGCTGCTGTCTACCGGCCTGGGAGTCCACAAACGTCCCACTCCTACCAGATTGGTGATCAGGTGTACATGAGAAGACACAATGTAAAGACTCTTGAACCACGGTGGAAAGGACCCTACACAGTTCTCCTGACTACACCCACAGCCCTTAAAGTAGACGGGATCTCGGCTTGGATCCACGTTTCTCACGCCAAGAGAGCTCCAGCCCAGGACGACATAGAAAAATGACATCTCCACAAGACATCCAATCCTCTAAAAGTAAGACTCTCCAGAGATACTTAATAATTCTTCTTGTTTGTAGGCTTGTCCCCAGTCAAGGAAGCCCCCATCTCCCTATGCTGACTACCTGGAGTAATTAATCAAATGGGGATTACTAAACTTCGCCAAAGATTAAAGACAAAAAGAACGTGAATCCAAACAGGGATGGTTTGAAGGCTGGTTTAATAAAAGCCCCTGGTTAACTACCTTAGTATCCACCCTAATAGGTCCCCTGGTAATTCTTCTCCTTCTTTTAACTTTTGGACCATGCATCCTCAATAGACTGCTACAATTTATCAGAGACCGATTATCAGTAACTCAGGCTCTGGTTCTTACTCAGCAATACCATGCTTCAAAAGGAACAGAAGATCTATAGATTTTAGGATTAAAATCTTACTATAAGAAAAGGGGGGAAATGATGGACCCAAGTCCCCCCCAAATGATGGACCCAAGTCCCTCCAAAATGATAGATTTAAACTAAAATCCCCCAGGCCTGAGAAAAACTGTACAAGGAAGTAAAAATAAAAAAATAATTCTGAATGCTAAGAACAAGCTGAGCTGACCTTTTTCATGCTCCTCTGCCCAAGCTGGAAATCATCCCAGAAATTCCCCCCTACCTCTGCTTGGCACATAGCCGCCGCTTTTCTTCTTGGCACATAGCCGCCGCCAGAAACCCCCCCCTGCCTCTGCTTGGCACATAGCCGCCGCTTTCTCTACTTGGCACACAGCCGCCGCTTGTATGGTTTTAAAAGAAAGCTTGTGAGCTGAATACTTCACTTCTCCTTATGATTAAGGTAGAAGTCCATCTATAGATGAATAAACCTCTTGCTTGTTGCATCTTCTGGTTTGAGGACTGAGTTATTGGGGTGCGGCCTCCCATGGAAGTTGGGTACCCCAGTCTGGGGGTCCAACAACAGAGGACATACGGATGTTCGTTTCCCAGCATCCTTATGATAGCTAACAAATGTCTGTTCCAGGAGATCCAAAAACCTCCTCTGGCTTCTTTGGGCATCTCATGCATCAGTGCACTTACATACAATCAGGCAAAACACTCACACACATAAAAGATAAATAAAAAAAATACTAAATTAAAAAAGAAATACTTTGGGATATGATCAATACACATTGTATAGATGTATAGAACTTTCTAATAATGAGATATTATTTTAGAAAAACATTAAAATTTTGTGAAGGATCTATATCCACAAATTGAATTTACATTTCAATTAAGAATTAGATTAATTTTAAATTGATTTTTCAGAGTGGAAAAAAAGGAAATTAGGCATTAGAAATAATTTGGATGTGTCTGTGAGGGCAATCCTACAAGGATTAACTGGGAGAAGACCCTTCCTGAACGTAGGAGGCACAATCCCATGGACTGAGTTCTATAAAATAAAAAAAGGGGAAGGAAAGAGCTGGCTAAGTTCCAGCATTGATCCCTCTGCTTCCTGGTCTGTCTGGATATGAGCAAACAGCCTCGTGCTCTCATTCCCACCGCCACAGCTCTCCTGCTGCCTTGTCTGCTCTACCATGATGGACTGTACCTCAAATCGTGAACTCAAATCCTTCCTCTAAGTTGCTTTTGTCAGGTATTTGGCCACAGCATCAAGAAAAGTAACTGATACAGATATTTCCTATGTCAAATAGTGTTGTGAATATTAAATAAAGATGATCTCTTTACAATTGTTTCTAGCACAAAGTAACAAGTACTAAATAACATCATTATTGGTATAGTTTCGAATTAAAGAGCCCACATGAAACTTATCATTAACATGTGGAGAAAAATGTGATGTGAGTAACTATTCTGAACCTCCCTGGGTGGTACTGAGAGAGTAATTCAAAGCCCTGAACATGACATGTTTGGCTGCTAGCTGCATTCTCCAAATTGTGTTCCACAGAATGTTAATAAAAATGAGTTCTAAAAACCCTAAATCTGAGAAAAGGTCTTCTTCAAAAATTTAATATGTTCATATGCCAGGCCAGATTTCAAGAGGTGAATTTATAAAAAGTATGTTACCAATCTTGAAGATTTAGTGGAAATAAAGTATGAGAAACAGCAACTTCTGAATAGACATATTCTGAATAGCATCCTACTGAAAGACAGAAACAGAGGGAAATTTGATGTGTGGCATTTCACATTACTTCCTTGATTTATTGTCTTACAGATCTTGTTTCTATGTAATGACAAAAATGCTAACTCCAATTAATTTAAAAAGTGTGTCATGACTGTAGTAGTCACCTTGCCAATGACATGCAAAGTAAAGGAAGTATTCTTTCAATATTTAAATGCTTTACATGGATCAGCTAAGAGGTCACATAACTAACTGAGCAAAGGGGAGAAGCTGACCTACAACTTCATTGCTTTACTTTCATCTTGCTAATTCATCAGAATTACCAACCCACTCACAGGCCATAACTGGTTGTAGGACTTCCAGTCTATGTGAAACTTAAAACAGTGGATGATGGGAATTTTGTTCTTGGTTACATGGAGCAGCAGCTATAATTGCCCCCCAAATTATCGCATTGAGAACATATTTGAAAATTATGTTTTGTTAGTCTTTGAAAGGCCAAGAACAACAAAAATCTGGAAAAGGGTAGGACTACTTTTAAGGAACTTGCTTGGGAACCCTCAAGACCTTCTGTTCTTCAGCATAATGTTTTTATGAGCCAAGTCAAATTTGCTTTTCTCCTGATTTTTTGAGACTGGTTCAACTTTTCTGTCTGATATTTGCTTCCAGTTTAAAAAAAAAAATCATGTGTTGGTAAAATGCTATTGTTAAACATCAATAGGCAATTTAATAGAAGATATTTAATTAGTAAAATTGAAAACAAACTTCATTCCTGGAAATATATAGGGGCTCTCTAATCTTTATTGTGTATTATAATGGCATTCCTGACTTTAAGTGTATTTTATATAATAAAAGTTAAACATTGAAAGTTATCAGAAACAAATACAAATTGTGACCCAGAGACATACTAAAATTTGTCTTTTTAAGGATACTATGTAGTTTTGATTCACGCTTCCAGATTGCTTTGTGCTCCTTTTAAAATCTTTTTCTTAACAGTTGGTAAAAACCCTCCATGCGGCAATACCTGCAAATATAGCAGCTGTTGTTTTCATCAGCTGACAAGGTTGAATGAAACAATTATTATCTCCATTTTGGTATGGTTTATAAAAACAATAAAACCCTTTCAAGAAAGCACTGAATTTCAAATGGGCCCAGCTGAATTTGTGATCCTAGCTTTTTGGAGCTGTAGTGCTAGCCTTAGAATCAAAACTACCAATGTGGGAAAGTGACACTCGCAACCAAACATTCCAGGAAATAAACTATAAATTTGATATGCTAGCTGAGGTGTCAAAAGTATCCATAATTTACGTGTCAGAACTTTGACAAGTTCTCAGTGTTGAAAAATCAATATCAACTCTTATCCTTTAGATTCACAGAAAGATGCCAAAACAATAGACATCTATTTTTAAAGGGGACCTCAAACTGAAGAACTGTATTTTCAGTTGTCAAAATTGTGCTTTATCCCCATTTTGTTTGGATAGTATAATACAATATTTATTATTTTATTTATATGAAAGTAATAAAGAAAATTAACAAA